GCAGTGAGTTAATCTGAGAAGGTGCATTAAAAAATAAATGGCCGGGCCAGCGGTGCACATCGCACATTAGCTCGCATAGACACATTAGTTGTGCCGCTTCTTAATGACAATATCTTAGCAACCCCAACTACCAGATTCAACTTGTAATTGGCTAAAAATAACTTAGCCTACCAGTGAGAGGGACGTTGCTAGCTGGCAGGAACTGTCCGCTCAGCGCAGCATCAGCACTACGGAAATACACGGATACATCCATAGATCGAGACAGAATTTACACTCTGTGGGGTCAAAGTTTGCAGAACTACAAACACAGCTGGAATCCACAGCTGTGCGTGTTCATGGAGCTGCATGTTCACCTGCTGGACGTCACTACCTGACAAGTTTAACTGTCTTCAGAACATTGCAGAGGCCTTATTGACGGTGTTTGGCTCTACATGTCTGTGTGAGCAGATTTTCTCTCACATGAGTCCTCAGGTCTGAATGCTGGACACTGGGAGACCTGTGTGTCTGAGTGGGAGACCAGAGATCACATTAACATGTGTGTCTCTGTATTAACAAACATGCCGTATTGGCCCAGTTTGTTTTTATTATCATTGTTGTGAGGAGACCATAGATAGCATTTGATTTTCTGTTGTACAGTTCATTTGCTGTTATGGATAAAAAGTCTTTTTTTGTTTCCAAACAGCTGATAACTATTCGCTGACAGCTGCCAACATCTGCAAACAAATATAATTCTATAAAGTTGTTCTATATAGTGTGTAACTGTTAACATAGAGCGTTATTCAATTTATTGCTAATGCAATCATTAGTTGCATTAGTAAATTTTACATGCACTCGTCATCAGAAAGGTTGCCGACCCCTGCTGTAGGGCGAAGGACACACACACCCACACACATGTTTGAAAACATCCTGACACAAAGTTTGACATCTTGCTTTGGATGGTTAAGACTGCCAGGAGGATTGTTGGTGCCCCTCTCTCGTATCTGGAGATCTACAAACAGGGCTGCATACGCAGAGCTACCTCCATCATCAGAGACTCCCACCACCCCTCTCATGGCCTGTTCTCCCTCCTGCTGTCTGGCAAGAGGTACAAGAGCACCCCTCCCCACCCACTCAGCTATTCACACAGCTATACACACACTATTTGATCTAATGATCCTCTTCTATGAAAGGACTGCTGCCACCTGAATGAGTGTGACTGCTTAGACCTGAGCTCGTTTTAGAATTTAGATTACGAATCGATGTTATTTATCCTTATTATTACTGCGATTTATCATTGACTTTTAAAAAAAATTGTATTGGTTACTGTAGAGGCTGGTGAGAAACAGTATTTCGTTTCAGTCGGAGTATTTTTTGAAATAACATACGAAATGACAATAAACCTTTCGATTGATTGATTTGATTATCTTTGTGAGAAATGTTCATGCATTTTCAAGCTTCTTTCCCTTAAATTTAATCATCACAGCAGGTTTCAAGGTTTCAAACTCTTATCCAAAACCTGAACTTTATGCTAATTTTACCATAAATGCAACTTGCATTGGGTCTGGGGTGGCTGTAGCTCAAGAGGTGGAGCAGGTCATCTGCTGATTGGAAGGTTGGTGGTTCAATTCCTGACTCTTCCAGTCTGCATGCCAAATATCCTTGATACTAACCCCAAGGTTCTCTCGAATGTTGTGGAATATACACTTTTCCTCTCGTGGTTCCGACATCTCTGCCTGAGCTTTGCAATCATAGATATCATATATGATTTCTGTCTAAATACGAGAACAAAAGTACTAAGGCTCTGACGTTAAGAAGCATCTTTGTCTATAACACAAAACATAATGGTAGCGTGTGGTAAACTCAGCGACTCATGAACTTAAAACATTAAAGCCCACAAGAAAAAAACGACTGAGCAGAAGTTGTAGTCTGTATAAACACAAGCTGGAGTTTAGCTCTCGAGACCAGTGAGACTTTACAATCTGAAATTCAAAACTGCCATTATATAATTTCCTTTTTTTAGTTGGTGTGGTTGGAGTAGAAAAAGACATTTAGCCTTACTTGACAATGCTGCGAGCTCTGTCGGCGTCCATGGCGCTGACTGAGCCCACCACTGTGCCCACCGCAACATCTTCTTTCACCTCATACAGGTAGCTGGCTTTTTTAAACACAGGCGGCTCATCCACATCATCCACGGCCAACCGAACCGTAGCCACGTCTTTTGGGCCTGAGGACACGAAGCGAACATATTCCTGGGTGTTCTGGACCTGGATCTCGATCGTGTATGATGGTTTCTTCTCATAATCCAAAGGCTGCAAAGGCAAAGAGAGAACGACTGCTTTCAGTAAAGATGTCTGTGGAAACATAAAGCCAGCCTGAACATTCGTTGGCAATCATCAATGTCCACTGAAGCCAACAAATGCATGTAGACAGATAAATGAGACAACAGCTTGAAAGGTACATACATACATATAGTGTATACAAGTGTGGCATGGTCATGTAAAGTATCTGTAACAGCAGCTGGTGCTGTCAGGTTGCTGTGGTGATAGTGGGTCAGAGGTTTGTCACTAAAACAGTTTGTATCAATGTTGACACACACACTCTGTGGGGACACATTTCTACAACACGGCATGGCTTTGTATTTTTAACAGCATATGTAAAACAGACTTAGTTAGCAGGATCCTTAGGAGCTGAAAGTGTGAGCTCTGATCAATTCATTTCAAGCCAACCAGTGATGTGAGAAAAATATCAATACAAAATAAGAAGCCAGTATTATCTGAAGGTGGCCAAAGCTATGGATAGTTTGACTCATGCTTTTTCAGTACACAGCGACTCAAGAACGTTTTCTTTTGGTCTCTATTATAACATCATTTGACCCCCAACGCTTCAAGTCCCGTTTTTAATGTTTACTGGTTAGTTGCTCTCACCTTTCTGACAGTGACGAGTCCTTCTTGTGTTTCTTTGTCAGTGGAAATGTCAAACATTTCCATCCCGTCACCGCTGATGATGGTGAAGTCCATCTCAGTGTTCTTTCCAATGTCTTTATCAGTGGCCTGAATTCTCCCAACGACAGAGCCGGACGTGGACGATTCAGGAACTCTGAACTGGTATATACCTGGAAACAGTCAGCTCCGTCACATCGGTGGGACTCACTCTGGTGACAGAGGTATCTGGGGATTTCTAGTTTTTGTTTTAACTCACAATTCTATTCAATTTGTCAATTGATATGAATGTTTTTGGACAGAATTATGGCTGCAGAATAATTCTCTCAATTGTGCAGGACAAAAACATGTCACAGGGGGCGATAGAGAACCAAACCCTGGGGAAGAATTAAGATCTGATAAAGGGATTCACAGGATTCTTAAAAGGCTTTAAACAAGATACAGACAGCTGACAACATTAAAGAAAAACCTGAATGCATGCTAAAGCATATAGTTAGGGCTGGACCAGGTGACCCTGAATCCGCCCTTAGTTACGCTGCACTAGGTGTAGGCTGCTGGGGATTCCCATGATGCATTGGGTGTTTCTTCTTCAATCAACTTTTTCACTCACTATGTGTTCATACACCACTCTGCATTTAATTATTAGTTATTATTAATATCTGGATCTCTCCACAGCGTGTCTTTGTCCATCCTCCCCTCACCCCAACCAATGATGGCCCCTCCCTGATTCTGGCTCTGCTGGAGGTTTCTTCCTGTTTAAAGGACGTTTATTTCGATCCCGCTGTCACCAAAGTGCTTGCTCAAAGGATGTCATATGATTGTTGGGGTTTTCTCTCTTTTCTTTGTATTGTTTCCTTGTATTATTTTCCTTTACCTTACAATATAAAGAGCCTTGAGAAAGCTGTTGTTGCTGATTAGAAATAAAACTGAACTGAGTATAATTAATAGCTGTGTGTGTTTCATCACTCGTATACACACTGTGCTTCGTCTGTGCTGCTGTCTTACTCTGAGTGAAGTGGGGAGGGTTGTCGTTGACGTCAGTGAGAGTGATTTTAACCACAGTGCTCCCAGTGAGGCCTCCTCTCTGTCCACCCATGTCCTTGGCTTCGATCACCACCTGGTAGTGCTCCCTCTGCTCACGGTCCATGTCACCAGGACCCAGGGCTGTCCGGATCACACCTGAACAAAAAACAAAACTGTAATCTAAATTCATGTTCAGTCATTTTGTTTTTCATCATCGTGCTGACGTGTTGCTGGTGTGAATTAATATGCACGTCTTCAGATGTAATATGGCTTTATTTTCATTCCTGTTTTGGGTGGAGGAGAAACAAACCAACCATCTGTGTCTGTGGCACAACAATTTTCCTTTGGTCATGATCTGAGTTTTTAGGATATTTGGGTTTTTTTTGATTGATTTTCTATTATAGTTCTATGTTCCCTGTTCTATGGGTCTCTAGGCACATGTTTGAGCTCCACAAGCATTGTCCCTGTTAAGTGGTCTTGATTTCAGTGTTTATTTCCTGTTTTATTTTGACACTTCCTTGCCCTGTGTGCATTATGTTCAGTTTTGCTTCTTCTGTCTTGTTACTCCTGATTTGTCCCTGCTGTGTTCACAGTTCACTTCACTCTCCTGTGTATTCATTGTCTCAGTCTTCCCGTGTGCATTGTGTGTTCTGTGGTCACGTGTTAGAGCCTAGTCTATGAGTTAACGGTTTTGAGTCTCACCTAAGCTATTTTGTCTTATGCATTTTGATTCCTTAAGTTCAGTAATAAAGTTATATTTAAGTTTATGCTTGTGTGTTTGGGTCTCACCCTGTCTGCCACACTGCGAAACCTGACACCTTTTTTTAAGTCAATAGACAATTAGAGCTGAAATCAATCATATTACAGGACTTATTATCTGACAAGTTCTCTAAACCCAGCTTTAAATCTTTTAAGCTGACATCTGGATTCACAGAAACATTATGGACACGGTTCTGTTTCAGTGTACACGGGTCAAAACAGGAAGTTGTTTACTGGAGATCTACAAAGTTTAAGATTAATGTCACCAGTTCTATATGTGGGAAAAAGTGAGACATTTAGCCTCAATTCTTTGTAATGACCAGCAGGGACTCCTGTGGCTGCATCCACATGTGCATTAGGGTACGCTTGACTGTGGGACCATATCGGTGTATTCCTCGGTTTTATAGTCCTATCCATCACATTTTTTATGTTTGCCTACAGAAAGCTAAGATGGGGACCCATAAAATGGTCAGCTTCAAGACTTTAAACTGGCACTAAGGTGATGTGATAGTGACAAAGTTCACCTTTAATCTGTGGCACTTTGAAACACGATCTTTTGATTTTTCGTCAGGTTTTTGGCTCTCAGTGTTGTACTAGTACAGTGTCAGAGATTTACAGTTAACAAACAGTCAGGTGAGTAAACAACACTGAGACACTTGAGATTGACAACGTGCGGCACGGGTGAATCTCAGACAGAGAGACACCCCGAACTGCAGTATTCGTCAGTACAGTGAGTGTGTTTGATGGTTAAAGTTAAAGCTGTGAACACTACCTTATTAGACTAATACTGAAATGAGTCTTCCTCTTTGGTTAAAGTCTCTTACCTGAATATGTCACACTGTAAGCTTGCTAGCATACTCATTATAGCTAAACTGGTACTGCAGTGTTCCAGTGCACGTTTTCCATCTTTAAATGGAAAGGATAAAATCATATATGTAACTGTTGTCTTTATCAGATGTGGGAGGCACAAAAACATGCAAAGAGAAGTTGCACTGAGTTTTCAATGGTAGTTCTTTTTTTTTATTTTTACTGAAAAAAAAGATGTATTGTCTAAATTTATGATATGAAGCTGCAACAAACACGCTCATCATAAGCTCCCTGAGAACCTTTTGATTCACACTGTGAAGAAAGAGAAGAAAATAACGACCACATCCAGACTATGATTCCTGTACCATTCATTTAACAAAACACACGATGTGTTCATTTGGACTGTTTGTGTTATCTGCAGCTGTCCACGTTTGTGCGTACAGAAAGCAAAAGAATCACCTGAGCACTTTTTATTCCTGTTATTGAGTGTTAGCACATGTTTATATTATGATATGGAAAATAATGATGAGGAAACCAGAGAAGAAAATTGATCAGCTTAGATCAGGTTTAAATGTTATTTCACTCATTTCTATCTGAACACTTTACAGAAATGATTTGTTATTGTGGTCTAAACAAGTAATGTAATATGTCATTGTTCCTAAAATCTAAGTCTGTCCATAAATATTGATCTGTGCACCTGTTGTGTGGGTTTTGATGCTCCAGTAATTCTACTAAAATGATTCTGATGACTCTTCTGTAGACATGTTGCTCATTAGTGACTTTTTCACATTTAGCACATTTTCATTCTCCACATTCTGTAACTTAAGACTGATTTTGAACCATTATGTTGAATTTATGAGGCTATAAAGTATCAGTATTTGGACATGACCCGCACCCACCCACTCACTCATCTTAATTGTGATGGCAGCTCTTTTTACACAGCTCGTGTCCACAGCTAAGACGACATGTGGCATGTCTGTGTAAAGCTTGTATAATGTCAGAGCTCGTGAAGAAGGCCCAGAAGACAAATCCCCAAATGTTTTAATGGCCAGTCCACATCTGACAGTCGGGGCAAGTGTGACAGGACTCACATAGTCTATTTATATCTCTCTGAATCACAACAGTCACCTCACTGCACTTTACACCTTTGAAAAGTAAAAACCCTGCAAATGTATCAGCTTTCTCACATTTATCAGTTCTTACTTACAGACAGGTGAAAGTTACTGATCCCATTATGAAATACACCACAAATGTCTCTAATTAAGAAGTTCTTTAGCTGCATGCTCACATAATAGTGTGCCTGTCACTGCAAATATTTCTTTCTGAGCCTTTTAAGAATTAGCAGGTCGATCCGATCTGCCTTTCCTCTCAGTAACATTGCACAATAGGTGTATATTTTGTATCAGACCAAACTTTACAGTGCCGTGCAAGAACCTCATTAAAATGTGCATGTAAGAGTGAAATCCTGGGAAATTAGTCCACGGCTTTGGTTACACACCGTCAGCAGTGTGACATTATGGGATGTGTCCCTCACGTGTCACAGGCGTGAGATCAGTTTCATGTGCTACAATTAGCCTATTTAGTTTAGCATTAAAGATTATCTTAAAGGAACACACGGGCATTTTATGAAAAGTCGTCCTGCTTCAATTCAAACTTCCTCCTACTTTCCATTTAAATGACCCATTTACGCACTTTTAGTTCTAATTTTGTACGAGTAGTCCACACCAATCTGGAGACGAGGGGAGCTACAGGAAGCCGATAATGATCCTTCCATGTCTGTGTAGGGCCTCAGTCATCCAGGTCATGTTAGTCCAGGGAGCAACTGGACTTCTTTAAGTTTCCAGTCTCATAGGTGAGGAATGTATCGTGAAACTAGACTGATTGCTGGGTGTGCAGCCAATGTTAACCAATGTTAATGGGTTTCAAGCCTAAGGAGCGAGGCTGCAGGCTATGGCAGCAGCAGGTCCAGTGAATGGACCAGACAACAATTGCAGTGGATTGGTCAGCTCTATAAAAAGGTAAAGGCAGCAACGGCTTTTCCAGTTTGAGTCAATTCTTGAAATACAGTCATCATTCTGATTCATGACGAAGCAGCAAAAGGTTTTGAGAATCTGACTATATGATGTAATAATTTGTTCTCTAAAGACACGTTTTACAAAAAGTTTTGCTTTTGTCACGACCGGTATCATCAAGTACTCGATGTCTGTCAAACATACCAGTGTTTGGCTCCACAGAGAAGTATGGGTGTCCTTGACTGATGCTGTAGACCAGTTTGGCACTGTTCCCATACATTGTGTCATCAGCATCTGTAGCTGTCACCTGGGTGACCGATGTACCTGAAAGAGTTGCATTACCACGACTGTTACTGAGAAAACAAAAAGCAGAAAAGTGCAGTGAGAGAGGTCCTTACCAATATCAGACCTCTCAGGAACACTGGCAGTGTACACCTCTTTGCTGAACTTTGGTTCGTTGTCATTGATGTCGTGGAGTTTGATGATGAACTCGGTCTCTGGCTCCAGTTTTTGACCCGTCCACTTGTTGACCACTGTGGCTTTGAGGACATAAAAGGCCTTCTCCTCTCGATCAAGGCGGCGCGTGGCGTGCAGATCGCCGTTATTCTCATCAATGACAAAGATGGTGCCAGCCCCCTCGCCAGAAAGAACGTACTTCACTGAGCCATCGCCATGGTCCTGGTCTGACTGGAGCTGCAGGTGGACATATCCAAGTGAAGAAGTCGTCAACTGATGGTTGAGTTATTTAACATACCAGACAGACACTAGCTGCTCATACAGTCAACTCTTTCCACTTCAGGACACTGAGGTGAGGTTGCATTCCCAATCTACAAAATAATGAAAATAATGAAAGCACATTTTATTTTGAGTGATTTTTTTCTTTATTAACCCTTGGATAGCCGTCAAAATTTACACCCTTTTACATTCATCGGGACCCAAAATGGTCCCTTTTTTGACTATGACCATCCGAGGGTTAAGATCATTTAATACATTTAGTAACAGCTGAACAAAGGATCCTGTCTTCAGTGTTCTACCTATGCCCACAGGTAGAAAGCTTCTTACCTTAAGCAGATAAAGTAAGCAGGGGTTGAGGTGGGATGCCAAGCTGTTTGCAGAGCCAGCATCACCTGTGAGCAGTTTAGAGTTTCTCACCCTATCAGAGAGTGAGAAAATAGCCCACACCATGTGACCAGCACTGAGACTGGAGAGATTGTAAGAGAGAGACATGGTATCTGAAGAAACCCTCAACTTAAATGAGACAGTTCTCCAAAAGCAAAGATGGTGGGAGATTCCTTGAGAAAAAGCTTTTTACAATCTTTTATTGCTTGCTTTTTTCGTAATATAAGCTTTTCAACATACTCTCTTTCATAATCCTGTCTCTAAAAACATTTCTGCAGATGAAGGAACAAGAAGATAGACAGGTCTGGTGGTAACAGTGACAGGTTTGCAAAAGGCAAACAGAGCAAAAGCAGAAAGACCGAGCGTGAACTCCACACCGGGAAGCAAAACAAGAATCTTCTGAAGGCAGACAGTCAGCTGAAAATAAGAGTGTGTTGTGCCTGAAGGAGTACCTTTGCACTCTTACCCACAGCAATAACCCATCTCTCCTGTTTTTCCTCTCTCTCACTTGCCTCTCATCTTTATTTGTAGCTCTTGAGCTGAAGTGGCTCGCTGTCCACCTTTCATCCCCCTATTCCTGCTTTACTGCCTCAGGCCATGTGTTTGGGTGAAGCCTTTGATTAAGAGTATATGACTGTGGGAGTGTGTGTTAGAGAGAGGCAGCTGTGATCATATGTGGTGATATTTATGTGAGGTTTAACCACCTGCTAAATGATGGATTATGATTCTGTATGTGGTAAGAAGTTACTTCTTAAAGCATTCACCCACCGCTGAATTTTCTTTAAGGTTCTCCAAGTCTTCTGACATTCACCTTGGTCTACAGTTCACCCCACAGACTTTCAGGGCTTTGTCAGTGACGCTCACCTTGGTGTTCTGGAGGTAGTTCTTAACCAGGAACAATGTATGTTTTGTGTTGTTGTCATGTTGGAAGACAAAGTGATTTACTTTGTTTTCACATATCATTCTTTCTTCATGAATCCTTCCACTGTGACAAGATTCCCAGTTCAAGACACACTGAAGCATCCCCACAGCACTCCCATCACCGCCTTTCAGTGTGTGTGTTCTTAGGGTTCCTTCTCCAAACATCTGTAGGACCAATAAGCTCTAGTTTCATCTCATCTGACCAAACGACGCACTTCCAGTACGCATAAACTTTCTCCAGGTTGTCCTTAATGTATATACAGTGGGGCAAAAAAGTATTTAGTCAGCCAC